CAGGGGCAGGTTCTTGTTGCGGCCACTGATTCAGCCACCATCACTCCCTCCCTTCACCGCTCATCCTGCTGGTCAGTTTCAGACAGGTGGACCTGGTCTAAACAGCAGGACAGCTGGGGCTTGCATTCTAGGAGTCAGAAGCAGGTCCTGTGCTCAAGGCTCCTATGACACAGCCCTCTCTTCAGTCTCATTGAAGGGGGAAACTGACCCATGCCTGACTCCTGAGAAGGAAGAAGTACCAGGCTGGAGAAGAGGGAGTGTGTTGTAGTCATCACGCACTAGACACAAGAGTCACCTCTGGCTATTAAGCAAGTCACATCACATCTTTGCGTCTGTTTCTTTGTCTATGGGATGACAGTGAAAGCATTTCAATCCTACCTTATAGGGCTGTTTTAAAGGCTTAAATAAGAAAGTGTCCCGGAAAGCACACTGAAATCTGTGAGTAGGTACCCCAAAGATTCGCTCCTTCATCCTGTCTAGATGTCCAGGTGTGAGCTTGATGTGTCCCTATTAGTGTAGAGAGGGGACCAGAGAAGAGGAAAAGGTCAGGATCTCCAGTGAACGAGGGACTGGGGAAAATGAATTGCAGAAAAGCAGAGGGCTCAGAGGAGAGGGGCCAGATGCATAGGCCCTGAAGTCAGAGAAGCTCAGGCTGACTCAGCTGAAAAATGTAGATGATATTAGTGCCTTTATCAGAGGTTTTTTTTTTTTTTTTTTTGAGACAGTTTCACTCTGTTTCCCAGGCTGGAGTGCAGTGGTGTGACCACAGCACTGCAACCTCTACCTCCCAGGTTAGCTAGCTGGGATTACAGGCTCCCATCACCACGCCTGGCTAATTTTTGTATTTTTAGTAGAGACAGGGTTTCACCATGCTGGCCAGGCTGGTCTCAAACTCCTGGCCTCAGGTGATCCGCCCGCCTTGACCTCCCAAATTGCTGGGGATTATAGGTGTGAGCCACCATGCCCAGCCTCTCAGACTTGTTCTGAAGTTTAAATTAGATAGTATTTGTAAAGTACTTTGAAAAGAACCTGGTGCTCAATAAGTGTTAGCTGTCTTATGGAGTCAGGAGAAAGTGCTCAAACCTTAAATTAGGAGGGTGGCCAGTGTCAAAGGGGAGGCTGCTCTCTATGACCTCTCATTGTACACCCACTGTGATATTAGGAGTGAGTGTACACGGCCCCCTCCAGCTGTAAGATAAAGGAAGATACTCTCCCCTGACCCCATGGTTACACTTGCTGCTCTGGGAGCTGGGGTGGCAGGAAGGGGAGTGGACGTTTGGGGCTGGGGACACATAACAACATGGTGACTTACTGGGGCTAAAAGGAATCACCTAAGGAGTGTCCCCAGTCATTATTATGACTTTTTGGTCTATCATCATTGCCACCTCCTCAGAGAAGTCTTCCTGGGATCTCTCCACTGGGCTTCTCTACTCTTGATTTCCGTTACCTGTTCCTTGTATATTTCCCTGTGAACAGCACCCATCTACAAAGTTCCCCAGAACTCGTCAGTCCCCCATCCCTGCCACCACCTGTGGGATTTGACACAATTTCTGATCTCTCCTATAGAATGAGAAATTGGGCTGAGCGCAGTGGCTCACACCTGTACTCCCAGGCCTTTCGGAGGCCGAGATGGGCATACAACTTGAGGTCAGTTCAAAACCAGCCTGGCCAACATGGTGAAACCCCATCTCTGCTAAAAAATAAAAAATAAAAAATAAAAAATTAGACTGGGCACAGTGGCTCACGCCTGTAATCCCAACACTTTGGGAGGCTGAGGCAGGCAAATCACTAGGTCAGAAGTTCGAGACCAGCCTGGCCAACATGGTGAAACCCCACCTCTACTAAAAATACAAAAAATTAGCTGGGTGTGGTGGTGAGTCCCTGTAATCTCAGCATTTTGGGAGGTTGAGGCAGGCAGATCACTCGAGGTCAGAAGTTCGAGACCAGCCTGGCCAACGTGGTGAAAGCCCATCTCTACTAAAAATAAACAAATTAGCTGGATGTGGTGGTGCACACTTGTAATCCCAGCTACTCAGAAGGCTGAGGCAAGAGAATCGCTTGAACCTGGGAGGCAGAGGTTTCAGTGAGCCGAGATAGCACTACTGCACTTCAGCCTGGGTGACAAGATCGGTCTCAAAAAAAATAAACAAAAAAAGCAAGCTGACTACTTGTGCTGTTCCCTTCCACCTGGAACACCTCCCAAATGCCTCGAGGGCCGACAAGCCGGTGCTCAAGCCTCCTCCCCAACATTCTGTTCTCCTCGCCCAGTGCTTGCCTTACTTCGCCTGGATGCATTCTGGCCTCCTCTCTAGCACCTCGCATAGGTGTTGAGGTGTGTGTTGACAATTTGTTGTATGAAAGAAAAAGAAGTTGTGGATTTTTTTGTCCTGGTCTGCAGCAGAACTTTTTTGCATGAGGTAATTCATAACCTCCCTCTGGAAAGAAATTAGGATTCCTGATGAAATGCTTAAGCATTTTCCTGATGAACTTTATTTTATTTTGATTTTATTTATTTTATTTTTTGAGACAGAGTCTCACTCTGTTGCCCAGGCTGGAGGGCAGTGACATGATCTTGGCTCACTGCAACTTCTGCCTCTTGGGTTCAAGCAATTCTCCTGCCTCAGTCTCCCGAGTAGCTGAAATTATAGGTGCCCACTACCATGCCCAGCTAATTTTTTGTATTTTCAGTAAAGATAGGGTTTCACCATGTTGGCCAGGCTGGTCTCAAACTCCCAATCTCAGATGATCCATTTGCCACCGCATCCCAAAGTGCTGGGTGTGAGCCACTGTGTCCAGCCCCCAATGACCTTTAATAGAATTAAGACTGGATCTGAAAAATCTGCCACCCTCCCAGCCAACTCTCAGGTAAGAGCGGAGAAGCTGTTAACTACTCTTCTTTGTCTTTATGTAGTCTTAACAGTGAGCGATCTGACCATTCTCTCTCTTTTTTTTTTTTTTTTTTGAGACGAATTCTCACTCTGTCACCCAGGATGTAGTGTAATGGCACAATCTCTGCTCACTGCAACCTCCACCTCCCAAGTTCAAGCAATCCTCCCACCTCAGTCTCCTGAGCAGCTGGGATTACAGGTGCACACTACCTTGCCCAGCTAATTTTGCATATTTAGTAGAGATGGGGTTTCACCAGGTTGGCCAGGCTGGTCTCAGACTCCTGACCTCAAGTGATCTGCCCATCTCAGCCTCCCAAAGTGCTTGGATTCTAGACATGAGCCACCATGCGCAGCCTGATCATTCTCTTTTAATAAAAATGTCTTAACCAAGAGTGTATATTTGAGTTAGCTGCTTCCAGGTCATTTTGCTTGTGGCACAACCGTAATCAAACTTTGACATGCACTCATAATCAAATTATCTGAAAACTTTATTTAACTCAAAATATTGAATTACTTTTAGTCTTACAGAAGAATTTCAAAAGTAGTATAGGGATTTTTTTATTCATCCTTCACCCAGTCTCCACCAATGATAATGTCTTACCTACCTATAATACGATGACCAGAACCAAAGAATTAACATTGGTACAATGCCATTAACTAAGGACTTTATTTGAATTTTGCCAGTTTGAGTCTGAGGTTATAGTGAACTAGGATATCACCACTGTAATCCAGCCTGGGCAACATGGAGAAACCCTGTCTCTACTAAAAATACAAAAAAATTAGCCCGTGGCCCCTGCTACAGGCATGAGGCATGAGAATCACATGAACCCGGGAGGCGGAGGTTGCAGTGAGCCAAGATTGTGCCACTGCACTCCAACCTGGGCAATGAAACAAGACTCTGTATCACAAGGCAAAAAAAAAAAAAAAAAGGGGGGGGGGAAGAAGAAGAAGAAGGAAAGGAAAAAGAAAGAAAAAATAGCCAGGTGTAGTTCCACACACCTGCAGTCCCAGCTACTTGGGAAACTGAGGTGGGAGGATTGTTTGAACCCAGGAGGCAGAGGTTGCCGTGAGCTGTGATCGCACCACTGCACTCCAGCCTAGGTGGCAGGAGTGAAACCCTGTCTCAAAATAAATAAAACACAACAAAACAAACCAAGAAAAAAAGGGAAAAGAAAAAAAAACCAAGACGATGAGGATAAATAGCTATTGCGTGCAGGGCTTAATACCTAGGTGACAGGTTAATAGATGCAGCAAACCATCATGGCACACATTTACCGAAGAAGAAAACCTGAACATCCTGCACATACATCCTGGATAAAATTAAATTAAATTAAATTAAATCAAAATAACAACAACAGCCGGGCACAGTGGCTCACGCCTGTAATCCCAGCACTTTTGGGAGGCCGAGGTAGGTGGATCACGAGGTCAAGAGATCGAGACTATCCTGATCAACATGGTGAAACCGCATCTCTACTAAAAATACAAAAATTAGCTGGGCATGGTGGTGCACGCCTGTAGTCCCAGCTACTCAGGAGGCTGAGGCAGGAGAATTGCTTGAACCCAGGAGGCGGAGGTTGCGGTGAGCCGAGATCGTGCCATTGCACTCCAGCCTGGGTAACAAGAGTGAAACTCCGTCTCAAAAACAACAACAACAACAACAAGAGAGTGTTGTGCCCACTCAGTAGCTCTAGACCTCAGTGGTGGGGAGGCACTAGCATGGATCCCAAGGGGCCCCAGGAAGCAGGTGGGGCCAGGGAGAGAACTGCCTTGTAGAATGCCACATGACTTGAAAACAAAGATAACAGTAAGAGGACAGGGGCCCTCCTTCCCACCTGGCTTAGTTACTTTCCTCTGAAACCTTGTTTCTCTCCCAAGCCCAATACCTGGCTGCTCCCCTCTTCCCTGGCCACATCAGGTTGTGGGTGTTGAGATGTCTGGAGGTGCCCCTTCTCCAGAACCTGAGACCAGGGAAGTTGTTTTAGGAAGCATCAAATCAGGCCCAGTGAAAAGTCCCCACACAGGGGCCCACACACAGAGGACTGCTGGAGAGGGAGCCCCCTCCCTCCATCCCTGCCAGGCCCTAGGCTGCCCACAGAGCCCCTGGACTCAGAGTGAGGGCACACCAGGCTTTATTGGCTCCATTGCAGGCATTGGCATCAGTGTGGGGCTCTAGCCTGCTCCTGTCTGTCTTCTCTTGGTGGGTTTTCAGAGGCCTCAGGGTCTGTCTCAGCTGTGCCGTGTTCTCCCAGCTCTCCCTCCGACAAGGGCCATCGTCTGTGGCAGACCCACGCATGGAGTCAAAAGGGCCTGTGATCCGTGTGGGGAGCCTAAGAAAGCAGGGATTTGGGCGCAGCATCTCACCCTGGGCTACGTAGATTGCCCCGTAGGAGAGAAAATGGGCCTGTGTGTGTGAGCCAGCCTTGCTGGGGGCAGGGGCATCTCCATCCATGGTTAGGTGGCTTCCAAGGAGTCACAGATCTAGTGTCTGCGGTTGGGCAGGCTGTGGCTCTGGTGGCTCAGGTGGCCATGGTGACCGTGGCCATAGAAAGTGTGTGTGTGGTTGGCACCAGCTATGGTGTTTTCCTGCTGGATGAGGAAATTCCTTTGCAGTTTCATCTCCACCTCCTCGAGGGCCCTCAGCTCCTCCTGGTTGATGTCCTTGGACTCCAGGTGACCTGAGTGCTGGTAAGCTGTGGCCTGCTGCAGCATGGAGTGAGCCAGGTGGCGCCCCTGGGTGTCAATCTCCTTGGCGCAGGTAGCCACAGCGGCCCACGTGGCCTCATCGGCCGATATGGCTTTTCCAGACTCCTGGTGGATCTCTTTGATCACCGAGGACCCAGATGTCTTCTGCCTGCTGCTGAAGGCTTCCCGGTGCACAGCAGAGCCCACTTCTCCACGCCTGGTGGTGAAGGTCTCCATGCGAATCGTGGTGCTGTTCTCTCCACTCCCACTCTCAGTCTGGGGAGCACTGCCGCTGGTGATGGCATGGTTGCTGGGGGGCAGATTCTCTTCTGAAAGGCAGCTAAAGTGAGATTTGATCCAGCTTTTTTTCTTTTCTTTATGGAACTCTGGTGACTTGTCCTCGTCTGCCGCACCATTAGAGATTTGCTTCCTTCTCCTCTTTCTCTGAACCCACAGCATGAGACCTCCACCTCCTAGCAAGAGGGCAGTTCCCAGCACCACCTTGCATGATGGCTGCTGGATGAACTCCAGGAAGGTCTCCAGGACCCCACACCAGGCAGGCAGAGCTGAGAGCACGTGGGTGAGCTCAGGTGGTACAGTTCATGCTTCAAAGGGCAGGCTCCATAAGGATGTCTGGCAGGCAGGGCCCCTGCTGCATCCTCCCTAGGTGCTCCCCACCACCTCAGCAATGAGCCCCATTGTGAGGAAGGCAGTTGGGGGTGGGGTGGGGTGTGGTGGGGGGAGCCCACAGCATTCCTCATGTCTAGCCTGGCAGTCATTGCCCGAGGCCTGGGTCCTGTTTCCCACCCTGACAGCTGTCCGAAAGCTCAGTGAAATGGCGGCTTCTCCGAATCCGAGTCCCTTCTGCCTTCTGCTTGTAACCCATTCTGCAACTTAGTCCTTTGTATCTTCCAGTCATTTGTTTTTCTCTCTCTCCCCATCTGGTGGCCTCAGGGGGCAAAAGATGCTGGGTCAGGCTGGCCATGGCAGAAGGACCCCCTTGACTGGGTTGGCATCCATTCCTGGCCACCTGAGACCAGTGCACCCCTCCATCCAGGGCCCATGTCTGCTGCCAGCCTGGCATATTCCATCCCCACTTGTAGCCACTAGCCCCACTACAGGGCAGAGTTCAGAGGGAGAGGGACCCAGGAAGGAACTCATTCTGGAATAACTAACATGAGGTCACAATTGGGGGAGGCAAGCAGTGGGCTAAAAAGGCAGAGTGGACAGGACAGGAGACTTCATCAGGTCCAGATCCCGGGGGCCACTCCTGGATGGAGGCTGCTACCTCTTGCCTTAGTGATACACCTGCAAACCTGAATTTGCCCCCCATAAATAGGCATAGTTTGGGTTGTGAGCAGGTGGGCCAGCTGGCCAGGCTTTCCATAGGTGCAGACAACTAAAAGCCTAATTAATCTCCAAGGCCTCTCAGGGAACAAACAGGCCTGGGCCACTGTGTTGTTTTTTTTTTCCCCCTCGAAAGCATCTAGCCCATTAAAAAAAAAAAAAAAAAAAAAAGCCAAAATATCAGCTGGGCGTGGTGGCTCATGTCTCTAATCCCAGCACTTTGGGAGGCTGAGGTGGGCGGATCACCTAAGGTTGGGAGTTCAAGACCAGACTGACGAACATGAAGAAACCTCATCTCTACTAAAAATATAAAATTAGCCGGGTGTGGTGGCACATGCCTGTAATCCCAGCTATTTGGGAGGCTGAGGCAGGAGAATCGCTTGAACCCAGGAGGCAGAGGTTATGGTGAGCCGAGATCGTGCCATCGTACTCTAGCCTGCGCAACAAGAGTGAAACTCTGCCTCAAAAAAAAAAAAAGGAAAAGAAAAGAAATGCCAAAATAGGGTTGGAAAAATTGCGATGTTTTAAACAAAATATTTTCTTTAACAGAATATTGGTTTTAATATATACAAAATATTATATCATTGCAAGAAACCATGGTCCATCTATGTATGGAAGGAGTAAGACGGGAGTGTTTTATGAGGAACCTCATCTTCCCAGGCCTGCTGTACTAGTTCTGTGGTTGGCCACTAACCTCATTTGGAAATAACAATTCAAAGTCCATCTTTGAGGGTGTTTATGGCTGTGAGCTCAGGGCCATACAGCCCTTCTGCAATGACTCCTTCCTCTACACTCTGGTCATAACTTTTATTTAGAAAGAATACTCTTTATTTGAATAATTAGTGCAAATTAGCGATGCTAAAAAGATTTTTTAAAAAGAGCTACACAGGGCTGGGCACGGTGGCTTAAGCCTGTAATCCCAGCACTTGGAGAGGCCGAAGCAGACAGATCACTTGAGCTAAGGAATTCGGGACCAGCCTGGACAATACGGCAAAACCCCATCTCTACCAAAGATACAAACAATTAGCCAGGCAAGGTGGTATGCACCTTTGGTCCCAGCTACTCAGGAGGCTAAGGTGGGCGGATTGCTTTAGTCCCCGGAGGCAGAAGTTGCAGTGAGCTGAGATCATTCTACTGCATTCCAGCGTGGCTGACAGAGTGAGACTCCATCTCAAAAAAAAAAAAAAAAAAAGAGGCTGAGCATGGTGGCTCATGCCTGTAATCCCAGCACTTTGGGAGGCTGAGGTGGCAGATCACCTGAGGTCAGGAGTTCAAGACCAGCCTGGCCAACATGGTGAAACCCTGTCTCTACTAAAAATACAAAAGTTAGCCGGGTGTGGTGACAGGTGCCTGTAATCTCAGCTACTTGGGAGGCTGAGGCAGGGAGAATTGCTTGAACCCATGAGGCAGAGGTTGCAGTGAGCTGAGATGGCACCACTGCACACCAGCCTCGGCAACAGAGTGAGACTCTGTCTCAAAAAAAAAAAAAGAAAAAAGAGCTACATTGTTTCATAGTTTCAGGCAGTGCTTTCCAGAAGAATCTCTGACACTTCACCGATTCATCCAGGGCAGCTTTCCACCTCATATTTATTTATTTTAATAGAGGCAGGCTGGTGCGGTGGCTCATGCCTGTAATCCCAGCACTTTGGGAGGCTGAGGCAGGCAAATCAACTGAGGTCAGGAGTTCGAGACTAGCCTGGCCAACATGGCAAAACACTATCTTATGCGCCTGTAATCCCAGCTACTCAGGAGGCTGAGACAGGAGAATCACTTGAACCCAGGAGGTGGAGGTTGCAGTGAGCTGAGATCAGACCACTGCACTCCAGTCTGGGTGACAGAGTGAGACTCCGCCTCAGGAAAAAAAAATAGAGACAGGGTCTCACTATGTTGCCCAGGCTGGTCTCCAAAAGAGATCCTTCCGCCTTGACCTCCCAAAGTGCTAGGATTACAGGTGTGAGCCACTGTGCCTGGCCCACACCTTCTCTTTAGAGGACCTTTAACTGGCTGCAGAAGGCCCTTACAATGTGATATGTTCCCTCCTCTGAGCCTCTGAGTATTGGGTCGCAAAGTCTACCTCAGTGGCCAGGAAAGGCAAGAGAAACACAGATTTCAGGGGTAAAGTTGTTTGCATCTTCCTTTCTGGGCATTTTGGCTGCATCCTGGAAGCAGGAACGGGACCCTCTGTCTCTGTGCTCTCCATGACAGTGCCTCGGGAGGATTATGTTGACCCTGTGGCCTGGAGCCTGAAGACTCAGTTCCTATTCTAAATGAGGAAACTGGATTTGAAAGGTTAAGTGATTTCCTCAAGGTCTCTGTAACTGGCAGAATTGGCAGGATTCTTGCCCATGTCCTCTAACTCCAGATGCTGGGCTCTTCCTACCACAGCCCACTGCCTCTCTGGCATGGGGGTGAGTGATCAGATGGGAGTTGTAAGGGAGACAGACAAGTGGGTATGTGCAGCCCATGGCCCGCCAAGTCCATGGAAGCCTGTGCTCCTGGGCATCCCATGCCCTCTGCAGGAGTAGGTGAATGGCATGGAAGGGAGGGTCCAGAGAAGAGTCTGGGGATCTTTGCGGATTCTCTGGGTGGCAGGCAACAACAGATGCAAAGTCCACCCTCCCCACCTGAGCTAGAGTGTCCTTGAACCTTGAAGCTGAAGCAAGATCTTCACTTAGAGGTTCAAAATTCTTCTCACTTCATGAGAACCAGGCCTTCACCAAACCTCCAGGCCTCACAAGCCAAGCACCAGCAGAAACTTAGACAGTGTGTCCCTGCTCAATGTGGGCCTCCACAGGTCATTCATTGTCCCCAAAGAAGGGGTGCATTCCCTCAGTACTGAGCTATGAATGATCAACGTGTCCATCAGGCCAGGTCACAGTCACAAAGCAGCTTTGCCGCAATGCCAATCAGACTGTCATTTTAATCATTATTGCCGTTGGAATCAGTACCTTCCAATGTATATGGCTCTACAGTTGACAGCTGCTTTCACTCAAATTCTCTCAGATTTTTTGTCCAATCATCCCATAATATAAGCATTATCATTCCCATGTGTCCTATAGGGATCATCCCACAGAAAGTCAGTGCCAGAGCTGTTATTTGATTTTTTTTTTTTTTTTTTTTTGAGACAGAATCTTGCTCTGTCACCCAGGCTGGAGTGCAGTGGTGCCATCTCAACGCACTGCAACCTCTGCCTCCCAGGTTCAAGCTATTCTCCTGCCTCAGCCTCCCGAGTAGCTGTGGTTACAGGCGCCCACCACACCTGGCTAATTTTTGTATTTTTATTAGAGACAGGGTTTTACCATGTAGGCCAGGCTGGTCTCGAACTCCTGACCTCAGGTGATCCACCTGCCTTGGCCTCCCAAAGTGTTGGGATTACAGGTGTGAGCCACCACGCCTCGCCTGATTTTGTTTGTTTGCTTTTTTGAGACGGAGTCTTGCTCTGTCACCCAGGCTGGAGTGCAATGGTGCGATCTCGGCTCACTGTAACCTCCGCCTCCCAGATTCAAGTGATTCTCCTGCCTCAGCATCCTGAGTAGCTGGGATTACAGGCACCTGCCACCATACCCAGCTAACTTTTATATTTTTAGTAGAAACGGGGTTTCACCATGTTGGCTAGGCTGGTCTCGATTTCCTGACCTTGTGATCTGCCCACCTTGGTCTCCCAAAGTGCTGGGATTACAGGCGTGAGCCACTGTGCCCCACCCAGAGCTGTGATATGAAACCAGAGTCCAAGGCCTACACGATACTGCCTCAATAGGAACCACACCATTCCCAAAGCTAGTGCCAACCAGACACGCTGTTGAAATAGTGTGGTCTAGCAGCTCCGAAAGGTTTATAACGAGAGTCAGCGAGGCAGTGAAGCGGAACATGGGCATACAGTCAGATGAGGTGCAGCTATGTGTTAGCCGAATGACCTTGGGTGGTGACCATGTCACTCCGAGCCCCAGGTTCCCATCTGTGGGATGGTGCTATAAAGAGCACTACGTCAGGGGACTGCACGGTAAGGAAGGGGAATGGGTGGGGCGGGGCAGGCCGGACTTGCCATTTTCTTCTACTTTCATTTATTGTGCCAGGGACTCTGTTACATGTTGAGTGTCGCAAATATCTTCTGGTCCCCAACCTCAAAGCAGGGGAGACCCATGTATGTAGAGATGGGGGTCATAGGAGCCACAACAGAGAGAACTAATTCTGCCAAGGAGTCTTTGTCCAGAAGAGAACATGCAGAAAAAACTTTTGAGGGAGCTGGGACTGTGGCTGGGCTGCCACGTGACTGCAGCCAGATGCCCTCACATCTGCAAGGCTGACAAGGACTTTCACACCCATTGTCTAGTCCAACCCCAGAATAACTCTGGGAGCTACAAAGGCACTTTAGCAGTTTACAGCTGGGTAAACTGAAGCAGCTGAGGTCTGGCTTAAGGTTACAGGCCCCTTGATTCCAGATCAGTCCCGGCTGTTCCTCTCCCATAACAAAGTGACCCACTGAGTACCAGACTACCCCTGGACAGCTTGACAGAGCCTGTGTACCCTCCCTTGTTTTCTGGCTAAAGAGAATAGGGCCACTCACATCTCCCCAACTCTCACGGAGGACAGCCCCACTTACCTCGGAAGGGGAGGGTGCCCAGTTTGTGCAGATTCTCCTCCAGTTTCCCATAGTCCACCTCTGCAGTGGCAGTGAAGGGGGTGGTCACAGGGGGGTAGATGCCTGAAATGTCCACCTTCTTCCCCTCCCCTGAGGCCCAGCCCCTCACATTCCTGGACAAGCCCCTGCTCAGCCCCTGCCTCACAGAGGACCAG